CTAAGACACTTTGTACTAATTATATAAAGACTAGTTTTTCTTTCTTGAGTTAGAAGCCCTACAAATGTAGGCGAGATTGCAACAAACAGAGTTAACAATTCTTGTATTCTTTACTGTTTTTACTTTGAATCTTTATTACTATCATATTGTGTTAAATCTGGTTTAACAAGTTGGACAAGTTGTCTCAAATATTGTGTCCAACATATGTCCCCTGAGAAATAGAATTTCTCTAAGATCAACAATGTCTCAATACAAATTAACTGGATTGACTTTATTATCTATTAAAAAAGAAATTTTACAAGAAATCAATTATAATAATTTAATAAACGATTTGGCATCTCAAAAAATCTGAGAAGTAAAATTTATTTAAATTATTTATATAAAAAAATAAATTTATAAAAACCAAATTTTTTTAGTTCACTTTAGATTTAATATTAGTTGAGACGACTTTGATTTTAATTTATACGATAAAAAAAACGTATAGTGTTTACTTTAATTTCCAGGTGTGTATTTTTAGTATCTTATATGAATCCGAAGATGATTTTAAAAGCCATTAAAAAAACATGTTTAAGCCAAAAAAAGAAAAACCTTAGCTAGATTGAACCCTACCACGCTAGTTTGACTTGTTAACTTCTCGTGGTTTGACGACGTATAAATTGTGTTTTAATTAGAATCAATCTTAAACATAGTTGGACGCCAAACATGAGTCAAAGAGAAAGTCAAATTACAATGTCTTTTAAAGATTCAACATTTTGTTTAGAATTTTGTGTTTGCTCCAAAGTCCAAGTTTATGTGCTCTAGCGTGATAAGGCCTTCATTTGTGAAGCTAAACGATATGGATGCATGTGAGGAGATAGATACGCAGGCTGCTTAATTATATTTAGTTATTTACTATATGCATACACATGATTGGATGATTTTTTTTTAAAGAAGGTAGAGAGACTTAATGCGATTTTTTAAACGAGACCCCTTAAAATTCATAATAGTATTTTTTTAAAGGAGACTCTTTAAAATTCATAATAGTACGGTTCAGGTGTTTGAATAAAGGACAAAAGAAAAATATTCTAAGAGGATTGCTCAGTTGAAGATTTTGCCTGATTGTCATCTAGGGTTTGTACTTGAGAATTTGGTTTAATACTAGTGTTTTCATCATTAATTAGCTTTTTCTTATTAGCTATGAGTTTCGTTCGATGATAATTGGGAGAAAACTCTTGGAGTTTTTCAGCATCAGCGTCAAAGGGTTAGACAAAGGACCCATATACACATGAGTTTCACCAACGATAGTAAGAGGAATAAGTATCTGAGATTGGTAGATTTTGCGTTTTTCTTTAAGCAGAAAATGTTCAAGAACTTATTATTGATTCCCTACCAACAATGGCCTTGCAATCTGGGTAATAGGTAATGAGACTTCTTTTTGTTGCTTGCTAGCTTTGTTGTTCTTGGTTTTTAAAGGCGCCATTGTTGAAAGATTGAAATTTTGAAATGAAAAAGTTGTTTGGATGTTTTTCTATGAAGAAATTGCAAGAAGGATGAAGAAGTTGAGACTAAAATGGGAAAGTTTCAAGTAATGAAGGTGAAGAGTATTTATAGAAGGAAGAAAAAGCTCTTCAGTTCTTTTTGATTGACAAATGGCGTGAGTAATGGGACACATGTATGCTTTTAAGAGGTTCATCAGACGGTTGTCTTTTCAGTTGCCACGTTACTCCTACAAAATAGAGATAATAATGAGTTCTTATAGTTTTGCATGTCTCGATGAGACGTTTGAAGAAAGATGATCATGATGACCATGACGTCATAATAATGAGTACCGTCGCGTCAAAGCTTCAAAAAATATCCCTTTCTACATATGGTCGAAAAAGACATTTTGGGGGGGAAATTTATTAGCCGTAAATTCGACGCCCAGGAAGATACGAAATATCAATAAAGCCGGAGAAAATATTTGATGTAGATAAGGTGATTTCGACCAGGTATTTGGCGAAGAAGCCCCAGACTTGCGAAATGATACTATGTTGGGACTTAGAAGGTATTTTGGACTTGATTTGAAAGTGAATTCGACAAAGATAATTTGAAATAAGGCTGATAGCCGTATTTTGTCCTTATTCGTTCCTTAAGAGAGACGCGTGGAAACTAGTGAAGGGAAAAGCGCATGCAGGTGAGAACGTGTCATTATTTGGAGAAGAGAACGTTCATTACCGTTATTGTCAAAATAGCATAAATAGGGGTCTTAGCATTAGAATTCAAGGGTGTTCAATTGTACCAAATTTAAAATCACTCGAAGCATCTAAGCGTGTTGAGAAAGATTTTTCTGAGTAACATGTACGCATGAATCACCACATTTACATTCGTTATCAAATCATTTACTTTCAATATCATTTTGATTCCATTTAAAAACTTTACATTCCTGCACACATTATATTCCTGCACTTTTTACAAATTGTGTTTGCATTACTTTTACTTTTAAGATTTTTAGTATTGTCGAAGTGTTCATCATCAAGAAAACTTAATAAAACTAGGCACATCTGTTCTAGAATCAATCTTGTCGATCATGTAAGTAATCGAAATATCAATTTTACAAGACTAGTGTTTGTTTCCCAAAACCTAAGGTAAACATAAAAGTTCAAGGGATTCATCCATTGATTGGTGAAAAGTCAAACCAAGGGATTTGAGGGCGAAGGAAGATCAATCGCTGATCCCGAGCATCATCCCGAGAGATGCAGGCTGTGTAAAAAGGTAAAAAAATAGTTCCAGAGAAAGTTCAAAAGACTTATGCTCTGCACAGAGTTGGAACACCTTCATGAAAGTCCAAGCTCCAGGATAAAGCTGCGAGGGAGAAACTCTCAAGCGGTTTTGCACGACCACCTCGAAATTCGAAAAGGTAAATCGTATACTCAACCTGGTGAAAATGAATTCGTACGAAGGAATCGAGCAACCCTCAATGGAGCTACACATCCTCTTTGCCGAGTCTATTGGAAGAACCAACCAATACGAGTGGTTGCGACCATAAAGTCAGCGTTGGCTATAACCTCGACAATGTTCAAAGTCAAAGGAGTCACAATCACTTTGGCGGCCATCCATTGATCTCTATTGGCGTTGTCTAACTTAAATAATCAAAGTCTCATCCGAGCCAACTCGTCGGCTTTAAAGTGATCGTCGAGACTGATCCAAGAGACCACATGGGACATTCCTCAATACTCTAAATGATCAATTTCAATATCGCTAAGCTTGCGGCCATTCCTCCTTTGATAAAATCGGATGAATTTATTAGCATGTTCCCTTATTTGCTGGATAATTTCTATTTCTGTCTCTGTCAAGACAGGATGATACATTGGTTTATCAACATGATCCTCACCCCAACCTATTTTCCCTAACAAGAAAGTTCCTGAAGGATCTCCCGACAAAGTTTTCCTAGAAAAGGAGTCCCTAGACACTTCTTTTATTTCAGAACCCTCAATTAGAGAAGTGATCTCTTATTCAAAATCCCTACTAGCATAAGGAAGGGAATACAATGCAGGCTCCATTCTCCTTCTCGAAGGAAAAATAACTACCCTCTGAATCATTATCTACATTAATAGGGTGATTGTAACAAAAATACATTAAATGCATGAATGAAAAGCTGAAGTGAAGAGAAGGTACCTTGAAATGTAAGGTCGAAGGTAGTAGAGAGAAAAAAAGGCTGAACATTGAAGCTTTAAAGATTTGAATGTGTGACGATAGCTACTCCTGTAAAAATGATCTCAAAGAAGAGGGGAAGACTCAAAGGAAACAAGAGAACATTGGTCTACAAGATTGTGAAAAGTTTCTCTATATTCCTTCTATTATTTATAGGCAAAGACAATTGGGAGGATCAGATTGAAAGTAAGAAGCTAGGACAGATCAACGATCAAATTTCCTCTTGGGAATACACCCAAACTCAAGTACATTCAAATGCACAGTAAGATGTGTCACACCACTCTCTACCTTTTTGGGTCACACGTCAAGAGAAAAACTACGAAATATTTCAATGATGGAATTGCATTTAATGCTCTCGTCCCCCATTATGCTTTGGCAAAACCAAAGCAATGCATGTCAGCCGACGCTTCAACAACCATTCTCGAAAGTTGGCCACGACTGCTAAAAGACTCCCCGACATCCTGAGTATCCAGCGAGTCTGGAGGCAATTGTTTCGTGCCGCCCAAAGGCCTAATAAGATAAGGCTGATTTACTCTAACCGCTCCATTAAGCCCAAAGTATAAATACCTTCAATAAGGATTTTCAGGCACACAATCTCTAATGTCCACTTTTACTACAATTATCTTGAACCATAAAATAACTTGGGCATTGGAGTGCTAACCATATAAATACCCCTCATTTGATTCGCCACATCGAAGATTAGCAACGTGATTCAAGATCAACGTCTCTGATTCAAGAGGCAATGCAATCACAACCTCTGATCCACGATGTGGCATAACTAAATTGTTTAGAATGTTTCGTTACACTGTTGTTTTTGCAATCCTCTTCATTTTTTATTCTGCAACAGAACAAATTAAATAAGTAAAACTTAAAAATATTTAGTAAAATAAAGACAATAAAAATAGAATCAATATATATATATATATATATATATATATATATATATATATATATATATATATATATATATATATATATTGCAAAAGTTATTCTAATATTCAACTGTCTCTTGTTTTCTCCACATAATAATCAAAGTATTCAGTCGTATTCATTTTCAAACATTTGTTGCGCCGTGGAGTATATAGTCTATATCATACCCTAAAGTGAAACCTTATATTGAGAGTCAAATAAAAGTTTCAGATTCAAATTACATTGTTTTGGAAACAACATGAGAGAGAGAGAGAGACTAATGTCTATTTAAAGACCCTTCCTCCTACCAAAACATTACATATCAAAAACTCATTTACATTTCACTTCTATATCATAGGATCATTTTTTGTTCTTAAATTAATTTGTTCTATCGAGTTTCTTTGGAAGAGAAGAAAAGATACATGGCTTTCTCTTATAGGAATACCTTATTCACAGTTATCTTGATCTTGGTGACCATTTTTATTACTTGTCCACAATCTGGAGTTGGTTGCAGACCATTGTTATTACATAGTGAATGGTCAAATCAATATGGCCTTCTTTGGCAATTGCTTGCAAACAACCCTGCTCCAGTTTCAGATGGAGATCACACTCATCCATAAACCTTTTATTATCTAGTTCATCAATCAAGCTACCTATTTAAGATCATATACATTATCTAGTTCATTTATCAAGCTACCTATTGAAAATCATATACATTACATGTTAAAAGTATGTAATGTAATTAATTATTAGTGATTTAATTTATATATATAGGCATAAATTCTTCTTTAAATTCAAATTGAAATTTATTTGTATATGTTAAATTATAAGTTGTATTGCTATATCAATTAAATATTGATTTCTTTTTTATATTTCATACTCTTTATTATTTATTACTTTTACTTATTTTAAGGAGACTTAATTCATTTTTATTACTAATAAGATATTGAATACATGTCGGTAAATCAGTAAAATTATGAAAATTTATAAAAGATGGAACTACTCATGGTAAAACATGAACAACTTTATTAGCTTGTCTTTTTGCAAAATTAACAAGAAAGTTCCTAAAATAAAGGGCTAAATAAGCGTTTACATTCATAAATAATAGCATCGAAATCTGAAAATTTCGATTGCGGTTTATTCACACTTTCCACTATGCTTTTAGCATCTAGCTCAAAATACATTTCATCAAAACCAAAATCATGCACCCATTTGATAGATGACAAAAGGTCTAAACCTTCCCATATATCAACTTCGGTAATAGGTCAAAACTATTCAGTATGAGCCACAACAAAATTGTCCCTCGTCATTTCGAATGCAAGCACCTATTCTTGTCTTGTTACAAAAATTAGAGAAAGATGCGTCAATGATGTATTTGAGAAGTTCAGCCGAAAGGTTTGCTCCAAATAATATCCGTAGACCTTAGACCTTGGGTGATATTGCTTGATAAAAAATGTTGGGCATTCCTCCACCTTAACAACAAATAAGAAGCACGATTACGAATAATGTCTAGAGATTATTCTATGTGGTTCTAGATTTGGTTGTCCCTACACTTTCAGATACTCCACAAAATAGTCGAGAACACTACTTGTCGATCATGATTTCAGACACGCAAAAACAAAAAAATATTATGACAAAAGAGGCATTATCATTTAATAACAACTGTAACATAGGGTAGAGTCTCACTTTCTCCCAACACTTAATACTTTTTGGGCAATGTAAAAATAGATGTTTAACATCTATAACTCCTTTTTCGCATACACCATAATAAATAGGACACTAAACATCTTTATCAATCAAATGTATTTTAGTTGGCAAGAAATTTATACATAAGCGCCACATAAATTTTTTAACGGTCTTAATTTTCCAAAGAAATTCTCAGTTCTCACCAATCCTTAAATGTGGAGTATCAATAACATCTTTTATACAGTTACGATAAGCACTACGCATTGAAAACCTACCATTTTTTTCAAACTTCCACACTAACTTATCCACCTAAACAACTTCAAATAGGGGAGTATTGAGAACCTTTGCCTCTTCTATGCTTCTATCATAAATTTTCCAGATATCAAGTTTAAGAGCCACATCATAATTTTGCCTTTTGTTTTTTTTACTTAATATGATGAATCATATCGATAGCTGCCATAGAACTATCAAAAATAGATCTCTTAGGAACAAAAGTTGATTAGTTATCAAAGACGTTTCATTAGACGATTCACAAGAACGTTAGCTATCATTTTGTATAGAACATTACAAAATACAATCGGTCTCCAATATTTTATGAATGTTTGAACTTCTCCTTTTAAAATTAGCATAATATTAGTTATATTAAGACTTAGTGGAAAAACACCCATATCCAACAAAGAGTAACTTGCACTAAATATTTCCAAAACTTCCAACGAAGATATTTTTAATTTTTTTAATTTTTTTTAATATAAAAATAATTAAGTTTTTGCTATAAAAAGTTAACATAAATTAATTTAGGCAACACATAATTAAATTGATATGAAAAGTTAACATAAATTAATTTAGGTCGTTCGCAAGACCCATGATAAAAGATCCAATATTAAGCATTGCAGGGTAAGACACATGGAACATGTGAGACTTGATAAGTGCTAAAATATAGTTATTTTGTATATATGTTTTGTGGCATTTATCGGTTCTTTTGTTGATATTCGTTGAATAATTCTCTGCTTTGTGTATAAATATATATACTTTGTGTTTAATCGAGTTTTTGTGTATATAATGTATCGTTTGATAGTTTTTATGTCTTTTTGTAGATATTCATGCATGGTTGGAGCATTGAGTAATAAAGGCTAAAGGCTAAGCTTCAAGAATGCAATTTTTAGCAACTCATCACAGAATAAAGCTCAAAATAAAGATGAGAAAAATCATCAATTTAGTCGATATTTAGGTATTTTTAATAGATCATTAAATAAGATTTCCAACGCTTCGAACCGGGGCGTAAATCGAAGTTACAATTTTCAAGTTATGGCAAAAACAAAATCTCATTTTTTTCTGCTACCGCTTAGCGGACTCTGTGCGCTAAGCGCGGTATGCTGGGAGAAACACATTAAAAGAGCCAAAACACACATTTTTTTAGGTTATGTTTTGGGGTATTTGTTCCCAACTCATCAAACCTTCATTCTTGGTAGTTTAGTGCTTAGAAAACAAGATTGGAGCTTGCACACGGATGATCCGAGGTAGATTTCTCATCTTTCGATGCTGACAAACCAAGAGAATTTTGGTTCATTTCTCTTCCTCTTTGTGTATTCTTCATTTGTTGGGTTTTATATATTTATTTACTTTGAACATATGTATATGTATTGATCATGGTGTTGTATAAAGCTTGCTTCCTAAATCATTATTGATGTCTTTCTTGATCTTTTTGCTTTATGTTTGGATTTGGATTGTTATAGACATATACCTCACAAATTTTGATTTGAGATGGATATCAATTAGTTTCTAAATTCTAGAGATAGATTTAGAGCTAATAATCATTGTGGATATCAGAGCTTAATGCCTCAGTTTTGTTTGTGTTGCGTTGAGAGATCGCTGATGCAGAAATGCAAATGTTCTTGCAATTTGGGTTAGACATAACCTTCATTGTGGGTACATCTCATGGTCTCTATGATGATTTTGCGAGTAGAGTAGGTTGAGTGCAACTAATCGATAGGTTTAAGTTTGTGACGAGTGGATTATATTCATGTGTGATAAGTCTATTCTCTCCAATGAATGTATTTATTTTCTTGTCAATAGTTTTTACCCTTTCTTTACAAACAAACCCATTTAAAACCAAACACATAAACACGAGAAATTGTCAAACGACAACTCAGTAGCACTAATCCCTGTGGAGACAATATAATAAAACTAAAAATACTTACTTTTGCTTGCCTCTTTACCGCTTCAGCAAAATGGCGATGTTGTTGGAGATTAGTGTTTTTATAGGATTGCATTGCGATAATATCTTTATTTTTGAGTTTTGTACATAATATCCATATTGTCTATAATGTGTAAATATAAACTTGTTTATATTGATACTTGTATAAAGTATACTTGTTTTATTTTAGGTTTTCCAAAAGTGTGGTTAGGTGTATAGTTCTGGTTAGAGCTCGAAGAGATGAGAGAAAAGGCAGGAGTGAAAGAATTTGACCCATCCAAAGCAAAATGGAATGGTTGTAAATAACAAGCATCGAGCTTAGAACATAAAACAAACATGTTTTATTGTTCTTCATTTTATTAGTTTAGGTAGTGTGTTGATTGTCGTTTAAACAAGTTGAAATTGGACCTGTTCTAAAATCTCAAATCTCCACTTTTCAACTTGTTTGTTCACTTTCATCCGGTTTTTCCAAAAGGCTTGCTTTTATTATCTTGAGGAAGTGTGTATCTATTGTAAATTCTATTTAGTTGTGTTGTTGAGATGGTGTAGGTGATTGTGGAGGTTACTTTAGAACTGTTGTTGTTGAAGCCGTGCCAATTTGTAGAAGCGGTAAAGCGGCTAGCAAAAGTAAGTATTTATTTAAGGTGATATAGGTTATATCGTATCGTCTCCATATGAATTAGTTCTACTGAATTATTGTTCGACAAGTCTCGTGTTTATGAGTTTGGGTTGAATGGCTTATTTGTAAGAAAAGGTCAAAGTTATTAATAGGAAAATAAATACATTCTTTAGATAGGAGAAACTTATCAGGCATGTATATAATCCACTCCTCACAGACTTAAACCTATCAATCAATTATATTCAAACTACAATACTCATTAATGTCATTACGTGTCAAACATAACACCCACTATATCACCTCGATAGAGATCTCTCAACCAACCTCAACAACACATAAGTTAACCGTGCTAATCGCATCGATGATCTCTCAAAATGATACAACAAACATAGAGGCATTATTCACAGACACCCAAGTGATTAATAGCACTAAATCTATCTCTAGAATCTAGACACTATTAGAAAATCATCCTAGATAAGAATTCGAGTAGTATATATCTATAGCAATCCAAACACCTAAGCACAAAGCAAAAATCCAGGACAACGATCGACAAAGATTTGTAAAGCAAGTTTTATACAACGCCATGGGCGATAAATATACATAAGTTCAAAGTGAATACATATACAAAACCCAACAAATAAATAATACATAAAGAAGAAGAGAAATGAACCACAAATCTCCCAGTTTGTCAACGTCAATCGAAGAGCAATTCACCACGAATCATCTGTATGCAAGATTCATAGTTGTTTTCTAAGCTAATCTACCAAAAAATGAGGCTTGGTAAATTTTTGGAGCTAAAAATATCCCCAAAACCATAACCATAATAAATGAAATAAAAATGAAATAAATGCAAAATTATGTTCTGCAGCGCTCGCCCGACGAGCCAAACACGTCGCCCGACGAAGACCTTATATTACACGGCCCAACCTATTCCATGTTTGCAAATGGAGAAAAATATCTACTCTCGCCCGGAGAGGGGAAGCTTCGCCTAGAGACACTATGCTTCCTCGCCCAGTGAGCTGCTGGCGAGCCCAAGTCTGTGGCTACTGTAAAATTGATCCATTCCCTTCGCCCCTCTGTCGCCCGGCGACACAGGCGCGATGACCTCTCACCCCATCATC